ACTCAGAGTTTTGTCTGATTTCTTTCAATGTCAGTACATGAAGGTCTGCGTCAGCCTTCATGCTGAATACATAATATAGCCTCGTTGGCTTAGACAAGTCTTAGAAAGACTTGGTAGTCTTTTTCCATGGCTAGCAAGCACCTGGCATGTGACCAACGTTGCTGTGATGAGCTACAATGCAATGACTTATCCTGTGACCAAGGGCACCTTTTTGTCCTTGTGCACAACACAGGGAAATCACTAGGTTCTGAAATATACACCTCGTTCGGCCTCCTGATGCTGGTGATTGTGGAGGTCTCAGCTGCAATGAAGAGGAGGCTGTCCCTGACTTCTTAACCCTAACGCCGTGTGTGAATTCATTCGTGTTATAGAAGATATTGAAGGTCTCCCTGCAGCAGGTAATAGGGACTGCAGGGTTACCAGAGCATCTTTGAAATTAAGTTGGTCTACTGGATGGGAGGGACCAGCAGAGTTTGCCAAACAAATGGGAGAGAATTCACTCTCATCTTACAATAAGGCGCTGACGAGAAACTTTGATCTTTGTGTCGTTCTTTGCTCAAGGGCTCACACTTCTCCTTCTCTGAGCAGATGGCTCTAGGAGATGAGTTCCTGCTTGTTCATTAAGGAGAAATTGGGAGGCAGAGCTTGGTAATGGGTTGGTGTATGTATCTTAGAGCCAGAGCTGATTATTGGCAGGTGAGAAAGGAATCTAATTCTTTTTTATTCCTTTGAGAAAACTGAGGGCAGCTTGTGGTTTTTTTTTTCAGTTTGTAATATTTGTCATTTAAATTGTATGTATACCAGCAACCCAGATCTCCATGTAGGCACGCCATGTATGCATTTATGAAACTAGTGAACAGCATAAGAAAAAAATGTTCCAAGATATCAAACCTCACACAATCATTCCAGAAAGAGGAGTTAAACCCAGTGAAATCTTTATTATTATTATTTTATTAATTATTATTATTATTATTATTTCTTACAGTCGACTGTGTATCTTTATTTATCTCAGAATAAAATTTTAGTTAAAAGAATATATAAGACAATGGTTAAAGAATTCAAACAATACAGCTTAGACAGTCCATGGAAATTTAATTTGTCTTCTGACTCTTAACCCTTTTTTCTGCTTGTCCACATTTAAATTTCTTAGGAAAATGTCTGCACTATGACTGCATGTGAAGTTTAAAAAAGAACTATGTGTGAAAGTTTATGCTGAAATCATCTGGCAATGGGGAGGTGCAAAAAGAGGCAAGAATGTAATTTCTTCATAACGAAAAGTTTACAAAGTGTGCCTCTATCATAACAGAGGGAACTGCCAACTCATGCTCTATGGAAATACATGTTTGGGGAACAGTTAAAATCACAAAACCTACAGTTTCAAAGAAGCTCCACGAAACAGCTAGTAATTGTAGGGAGGGGGAGTTGGGGTGAAGATGAAAGAACTTCTGCCTCTGGGGGTGGGTGCTGGGGGCTCTCTCAAGAGAAGTACCCTCATTTGGAGATGACACCTTCAGAGCATTGTTCTCTTTCCTTTTTTCTTCAGAAGTGATTACAGCCCTCACTGGGAAAAGGTGTGAGAGAATAGAGCTTCCAAATAATTCTTCCAAAAATCATGGCTGTTGATTGGGGAAATGAAAGCTCTATGCCATCACCTTCTTTGTTTGCTCAAGCAAAGAGCAGATGGAATAGAACAAAAGTTATACCAGGACCTGAAAAACCAAAGCTAGTCCATTTGAGGATTTTATTTCCCAATGGCCTGAAATTGACTATGAAGTTAGAGGTTATGGAGTTACTATTTATCATGCCCCCTGCTGTATCCTTCTGTGTTTTCTCTCCCTTCAGGCATGTTTCATTTGATTGTAAACTAAAACATTGGAAGCGTTTTCATATCCAAGCCCTCTGAGAATTTGGAGTTACTTTAAACGTCAGTTTGGTGGTGTTCGATGTTCTGGTTTAAACGCATTGTACACATTGTGCCTGGTGTGCCCAAGAGGATCAATATTTACATACTATTCTATATGTCGTCCATCTGTCTATCTTTCTGTCTGTCTATCTAGCTAGCTAGCTAGCTATCACATATCTATCCACCTATCCATACACATCTTTAGAGAGAGAATAGAGAGTTGTACTCCTATTAGTACAAAATAGGAAAAGAAAATCACCTGCAACATTATGCAGCAACCCTTACTGGAAGGCATTTGGACCATGGACCAAAGCATACGATGATGGGTGAACAATTTACTGTTTTCCTTCCACAACCTTCCCTTGTGATTGTCTCACTTAAGGAAGTATTATTTTAGTAACTGGAGAAAGAACTGAAGTCGATATTTTGGTTGTCTCTTGAAAGTGGTCCACTACAGTGTTTGATACTTGAGAGGATGTGCACAAATGTGAATGTGAGAGAATATTCAAAGTGTTTGTACAAATTTAGAGAAAACCGTTTTCCATGTTATAGAATATTTGTATAACCAGAATGAAAAGCCTGGAGTCCGTGCTGAATATACGTGCGGTAAGAATCCCTAGGTGTTAGAATAGATTGCTGATGCTTAGTAGTTTTCCTACTTTCGAATTTGAACCATCATTTTAGATTTTCCATGTGTGTTCTTAAAATAAGGGACTCAACAGAGCTGAGAATAACATCTATACTAGAAGCAGAAACATGTGCATGCGTGTGTGGAGGCAGAGAACGTGGGCTGTACGCATCAATATCAGGCATCTGTGTGTCTAATGTCGTTCCGTGTGCTTGTGTGTGTGCGCGCGCACGTGCCTTGGGGTGTCAGTTGTTCTCTGGTTGGAGTTGAGGAGATTCAAGCACTCCTGTTTTGTGTGATGGGCCGGCAGGTCTTGCTGCAGAGAGGCTGCAGTGCCTGAGTTGCCTGTTTTTCCTTCCCCCTTTGGCTCTGTACCCTGAGCAAGTACACTGAGTTCTCTAAGACAGAGAACCTGACACCTGCATGATCATTCACCCTAGTCCAAGACAAAGGCGGCACAGGTCATGTCCATATTATGCACATTTAGACATGGTATTGCTCATATTATGAGTATGTGTGAACAAAGTTGTACCTGCGGGCACTTTCTGCAGGAATAATATTTTCTGTTCTGAAGAACATCATTTGAGACGGATAATGGATGAGCTAAAAGCTCTAAGTGAGTTACAGTGCATATCTGTACAATGTATACAGAAAAGTAGAACCCATGAACAGGGCATTTCTGGGCAGGAAGGGGAGGATTGCGAGAATGATGGCATCTGCATTCCACACAGCCAAATGTCTGAAATTTACTTTACGTTTTTTTACATTTTGGAAGACCCACACTGTCAAGAGATTCACAAGAATGGTGTAAAAATGGGCATTCACATGAAACGGTGAGCAACAATGCTCCTGAGTGAAGAAGTGCAATCCTAGGTCATATGTGCAGGTCTGTGCATATGGATGTATAGGAAATGTGTGGGAAGCCCATTCCCCATCATATTGAGAGCCAGCGTCTATAATGTGTCATCTCCTGATATATCACTCTACACATCTTATATTCTCCATGAGCCCATTTAATGTTTCCTTAGATGGACAAAACAACACACACGAACATCACAGACCCCATGTTTGTGTCACACACACATGCATGCACACACACACGCTGCCACTCTGAAAGAATCTATGTGTCCAAGAAAAAAGAGGGCTATCATGAAAGTGGCAGTTCCGACTGCTTTCGAATAGGAGGGACCAGCATCACTCTAAGCAGCTTAAGGTGCAAATATTTTCAAATGCAAAAGGAGGAAGAAAAGAAGCATGACATCTACACTATAAATGAGATTTAACTAACATTTCTGTTTAAGAATGGCATGCATTCCAGAGTTGGAGAAAAGGAAAATGATGACTCAACCCCCATTTAATTGGCTTAATTTCCTGTCTCTTTTGGATTTTCTAGATTAACATAGAGGCGCATAGGTCCTGGGTATCGACATTTGGTGTCATTCTATCCCTGGAAGAACAGTGTACTTCAGAAACCCAGAGAAGGGTCAAGGGTGTGCCCGACGAGCAGTTGGAGTTTACGGATCAACTGACCCTGCTCACAGAACCCCCCTTACCACAGTCCACCTGGCATTCGGTGAGACTTTCCCATTTCACTACGCATTTCACCTGCCATCATTTATTTCATGTTGACATCTGGGGTGTGTTTGATTTTGCTCCTCACTCTACAGCCACTACTTCACACTGATTTGGTACTTGGAGGTGGAGCAGGGTGGAGGGGGAGCCATTTAGACCAGCATGCAGAAATGAAGAGGTGCGTGTCCCAGCCCATGGCCTGTGCCTGCAGCAATCCTTATGAAGGGGAATACCTCTAACAACCACATGAGCCTCATGGACCTCTGGATTCTAAGCTCACGCTCTTGAACATGATACTGTGCTGACACCCACTGTCTGTAGGCCGGAGGTCCTCTCTGGCTTCCTTGGGTGTAAAGGGTGGTGCTAGCACACCAGAAAAGAAACACTGAACCTAGGATGAGCCCCAAGGAGCACAAAAGGCCCAGGATGTTCAATAACACAAATGAGATCCCGGACATGACACGCACCTCTCACACAGGTGCTCCTTATTATGCAGTAGTAGCAAACAGGACACAAAGTTGGGTTCAGAGGGCTGTAAACCTCTTCCGTTATCTTCAATATTTTTTCCTAAATAGCTGCCTTGTATCCTGCCCTGCCCCGCCCCCCCCCACTCCAGTCTGTTACACAAAAGGAACTCTTTCTGATACTCTTCTTCTTTTCCTTTTCCATATTCTAGTATTCTCCAGTTTAGTCTGTCAAAACACAAGTTCCAGCATTTCTGGGAGATTCAGGTGGAGAAGAACAGGCCACACAAGCCATAAATCCTCTCGAACCCTAGGCACAAAGACGGGGTGAAGAACATTGTCTTAGGGGGAACCTGCTGTAGCTGTGGGTGTGGCAGGCAGACCCCTCCACCTCTTTCCAGTCATTACCTCTCAACACCCAAGTCCAGTCATAATGGACCCCGAGTATGTCTTATGCAATTGGAAAGGCCACTTTTGGCCAGCAAGGGTTTCGTCCAGATCTGGAACCTCACCAAAAAATAAGAGGAAAAAGCCATGTTCTCTACAAGTTGAAATACTCTCAGTAGGCAAAAAAGTTAAAGTGAACAGCAGAGAAGTAAAGGCCCTAAGTGAGTCTCAAATTGAGTCCATTTCCTCCTCGATCATGGCCCGATCAAAGGCCAGCCTCCCAGCAGGACAGAGAGTGGCCTACAGAAGCGCTCTTACACTGGCACTGGAGATCCTGAAAGAGAGAGCAAAGTTGGGCCCATCAAGAGCATCAGATGACCCAGAGATGACTACAATGTCTCAAAAGGGACCACAAAAGCGATCTCATAAAAGGTACCGGAAGCCCCATGGGAACTCACCGAGGTGTCTTAGCAAAAGGAAAGCCCCCAAATCACTGTCAGGCCATTCAGAGGGTGAGGACACCCCTGATAGTGACAGACCACAGGCACACACAGCTGCTGCTCCTGTTCCAAGGCAAATGCAAACAAAGTCCTCAGAGAGCTCCAGCCTGTGCTCAAACTTCCCATTGTTTTCAGAAGATGACCATGAGAAAGAGGGCAAGGAAAAGACGGACACCTCAAAAGTTACATCCTGGCATTCTACAGTCAAGGATAACGATGCAGGTGCAAAAAATGGAGGTGTCCTCCCATCTCTGCCACCCGGTTCCATCGTCACTGTGCCCCAGGCTCTGAAAAGAAAGGCACCACACAGCACCTGCCCAAAGGCCCTGGCTGTCTCCTCTGAGTCATCTGCCTTCTCTGGGAATGTTGAGGACCCTGGAGAGGGTGCCTGGAAGCCAGGCTCCACAGGTGCGGCAGCATCCTCCAGTGCCCCTAACCTGAGGCTGCGGCGTTCACGCCGTTTGGCAAGCAAACCAAGGAAGCGGTGGGCGCCAGAGTTTAAGAAAAGACAGCCAAAACCTCAACCTTCAGTTGACTCAAAGGCTGTTAACCCCACCACCGCTATGAAGAAGGATGTCGCCAAGGATATGGGACAAGCGATAAGCATGGCTTTCCCACAGGAGCCACGTCCCATTGAAAGAGGAATGGTGGTCTGGTTTAAATTTCAAAATCACCCATTTTGGCCAGCAGTGGTGAAGAGTGTCAGCCACACAGAGCAGACCGCAAGGGTGCTTTTGATTGATGCAAACATGCTCCCTGAACGGAGCGGCATTCGTGTGCCTCTTCGGAGATTAAAGCATCTAGATTGTGAACAGAAAGAGAAACTAATGAAGAGAGCCAGGAAAGTGTACGAGCAGAGTGTGAACTGGTGCTTCTCCCTGATTTCCCACTACAGAGAAGGGCTGGGTCGTGGGTCTTTCGTGGGTTCTTTCTTGGACTACTATGCTGCCGATATCAGCTACCCAATTAGGAAAGCCATCCAAGAGGGGGATCTGGAGATTGATTTCCCAAAGGTGAATTATGCTGACCTGGAAGATTCTGAGGAGGAGAGCTCTGTGGGTGGGAAGAGGCCCTGCAAGAAAATTCTCCCTGACCGGAAGAAGGCTGCTCGGGACCGAGACAACCAGAAGCTCGTGGACTTCATTGTGAAAAGAAAGGGGGCCGACTCCCATCTTCTGGACATCGTCAAAGGTAGGAAGCAGTCCAGGTGGCTGGTGTCATTTCTGAATTCAAGCAGGTATGTGATCTGCGTTGAGACATACCTGGAGGATGACGATCAGTTGGATGCCGTGGTAAGGCATCTACAAGAGATCTACAAGCAAATAGACAAGAATGCGCTGACTCTGACAAGAGACGACAAAGTGAGTTTTGTTCTGGAAGTCCTTCTGCCAGAAGCCATCATTTGTTCGATTGCTGCACTTGATGGGTTAGATTACAAGAAGGCAGAAGAAAAGTACCTGCGAGGGCCACCTGTGCATTACCGGGAAAAAGAACTGTTTGATAAAAATATCTTAAAGAAAATAAGAAAGAGACCGGCCATCAGGAGCAAGGCTAAATAACTCTCCCCCTGCACCCACTCCTTAGAGGAGAGACCTCTCATTTGGATCATTAGTAAGAAACGCTGCCTGCATGTGCTGAGTTTGTTTTGGATCCATCTGTGGCATTTGTGGGTGGCATGGCCATCATCATTTCTTGTTCACAAACTCTTCACAAACTACTTTCTTAAAATATTGCCAACAGTTGCACTTCCCTCTGCTTGCTCAGATGTGTGACTGTCCAGGCATTTTTATAAAACTGCTTTTGACTGTATATAGTTCATATTTTAATGTAAGGTGCACACTCTGGCATTCCATGAAAGAGCCCTGGTAACAGGCATTAAGTACCAATCACTTTTAAAATCTGAGATGTATTTTACAGAGACATCACATGGGTTGCTCATTCTATTTGTTTTACGTGCATATTAAATGATTGAAGTCCCTCCTAAGATAATTCCTGAGCAGGCCCTGCTATGCTTATGCTTATTCCTTTGGAGGGGGAATCCCTGAGAGGTGAAACCAATGACAGAGGCCTTTTGTATATATCATCACTACCGTCTGGTGGTTCTTGGAAAAGCCATCTGAAGCCCAGGCCAAGTGAGTGGATCATCTGCATGTAGCCCACCTGTGGGTGAATGAGATCTCTGTGTGCAGTAAACACTTGGTCAGCCTGTGCAACGTTGTTAACTGTTTGTTTCCATGAGATTCCATTTATGGGGGCAGCACCTCTTCAACGACCAAACGGTTTCCTAAAACAGACAGGCTGGCCGGCTGCTTCCCCACTAGCAGCAACTGAATCCTCTACACCCAGCTGTCTCTCCCCACGTGGAAGACAACTGGAGTCATCGTATACACAACCCTGCTGCTCTAGACCTAGGAGTCCAGGCTGCCTGCAAGGAGCCCAGCTTGTTAGCATAAATTAGAGGAAATCGAGCACTTTGTTCTAGAACTGTGTCCCCTGAAAAGCAGTCATTTGTCTCAAACCAAGCAAGCTTTATCATTTGACTCATTCATCAACTGGCTCTGACAGGTTCCAATGGGGTAAAATGCAGAGCGAGACGTTGCTCCGGGCTGCTCGGGGACTAAGTGGGCACGAATCTGGGAACTGGGAACAGCGTTTCAGAAAAGTCTCTGTTTGGCTAAATGTACCCGTTGTTGGGATACGATGAAACATATGTAAATAAAAGGTCAATTCTGTAGTCCAAGCACTGTCATCTGCACTTGGAACGACATTTTTTATTTTGCTACTGTGTCCCAGGCTTCTTCCTTTAAGATCACATTGATAAGTGATGTGGGGATTAAAGTCAAGAGCATCACTGAACTTCACCTTCCCTCCAACCAGGTCCCCAAATGCCCTGCCCCCACACCCTCTGTGTTCCCAGCTCCCTTGGGAAGGAAGAGCTGAATCCCAAGGGCCTGGAAGAACTCTCAGGGTTCTTTCCCGTGCTCTCCCCCATCCTGGGAAGGCAGGCACCTCAGTTTGAATGCATGGGAGAGCCCAGAGCGGTGACAGACACAGAGGGAAAGGCTTCACCCTCAGGGAAAGGGACTGAAGAGTACAGCCTAGTGAAGTGAGGGCCCACATAGCCTGGGGTACCAAAATGGGGCCCTGGGGCCAGAGGAGAGGAGACTGGTCCCCCTGAGAGAGGAAGCCTGGAAGCCTCCAAATCTGCCAATTGAGAATAGTCACTGCTTGATCATTTGCCCTTCTGGCGATGGTTGCAGAACCACACTCGGACCATGTCCTTCTCCAGCCCGAGCTGCTGGGCGATGTGGCTGATCTGCTGCAGGGTGAGCTTTGGGCACTGCAGGAACATATTCTCCACATTGCCCCTCACTCGGTTCTTGATACTCCTTCGCTTTCTCTTCCGAGCCTGCACAAGAGCCTCTGCATTGCATATCTCCTGCAGATCCTCATTGTTGTCAGCTCCCTCCGCTCACTTCTGCAGCAGGGGCTGCAGCTTACACGTGTTCTTCACACTGAGCTGCAGAGCCTCAAAGCAGCAGATGGTTGTTTGGCTGGACACCTTCCCAAAGAGAACACCCACAGGGAGGCCCTCATCGGCCTGGGTATCTCCCAGGGTGATCCTCCTGTGCGTCAGGAGCTTGGCCAATTGCTCGAGGTCTTTCTGCAGAGCTCTCATGTCCTCACTCACCTCTGCCCTGGGGGTTGGCTCTCCAGCTTCTCCTTGTCCCAGGTCGGGCAGCGCAGGCCTTGGGAGAGGCCCCCTCAGAGTTGCTCACCACCCCGGCTCCTGCCTTGACCTCGGGCTGGGGGTTCCACAGGCTGCCTTGGGGTGCCAGCCCCACTTCAGCCTGCGGACCACAGCAGGCCATCCCCCCACAGAACTCATTCAGTGGGGGGCATGGGGAACCCCTCCCAACATCTCCGCCCCAGGGCCAAGGTCCCAGCCCCATTCTCAACCCACCAGGAGGTCCTTGGAAGCTCATCCAGGTCTGAGGGTCAACTGAGCCTGGTTCCGGCCCTCCTGGCCCATCACCTCCACCACCTGGTGGGGGCGAGAAGGCAAAGTCAGAAGCCAGGTGTCCTGCCATGGTAAGGATGGCACCCTAAGCTGGGAGCCTGGTGAAAGCAGCAGATTTTTTTTTTTTTTGAAAAAAAAAATTAGAAAATCTGTTTAACTTCTAAAAATCTATTGTGAAAAAACTACAGTAAAACTTTAACATGGACTTCAATGCATTTTTATCCTTAGGGGATGTCAAGTGTCATTCATGGATCCATGTTATGTGTTTGCATGGTGACCTAATCTTTTCAGAGGGTAAAATTCACAAAAGTGAGCTGTCCTGACTCACCACAAAACCACTGTATCTTTCACCGAGAGCTTCCACTTCACCCTGCTCCAGAATGTATAACTGCATAGTTGGAATATCTAAAACACACACATATGTATGTATATGTAATGTGAATACATTTTGGAATTTTGGTGTTTCGGCTGTCACCTTTTAAAGGTCATTATGAATTTTCTCCTCATTCTAAATAAATATTCCCTTTCATGCTCGTTTTTATAACTTTAGAAGCGGGCCTTCCAGATTGCAGAAGCTTCAGGCCCAACAGAATGCTTCTGGACTCTGCCTAAGAAACACCAAGACTGATGGGGCATGCTGCCTGGGCCAATCCGCATGACACCCTCACAGTCATGGGAAGTACTTGGAAACACACCCCTTCTATGTTCTATGTGCACCTTGTACCCTGGAACAACACATTTTAGTTCTGCTAAAACATCATCTCTCTCTCAGTCAAATGTATCACTGAACTTCAGCTTTCTCAAGGAGCCATATCTATCTCTACATGCTAATCTCTTTTTCTGCACTTCACACATTCACTCACTCACTCACTCACTCCCAGTTCACAGTGTTGTGAGCCAGTAGAGCAAGTTGGTGTGGTTTAGGATACATTTCAGGTGCCACACAAAGGAGATCACAACCTTGCACTCCAGGTGACAGTCTAATTTCTAAGGTGATTGGAGTGTACTACTTTTTCTTCTTAGTGAGAAATATTTATCAGAGTCATGGACTTATGGCCTGTTTTTGACGTCAGAATCCCGGGTTTCCCCACACTTGTGAAATCAGGGGTGTCTGTCGGCTTGGGGTGAGGGGAGAGGACCTGGTCACATAGAGAAAGCATGCACAGCATCTATATGTCTCCAAACCCATGTGTGGATCTCACAAAGAAATAGTGGAACCCCAAGACCTGGTAAGGTGATGAGCATGAGAGTATCAAATACTCAGAACCCGCTGAACCCTCACCTGGGCATTAGGAACCTGCTAACCCTTGGGAGTACAGGCCATAAGCAGGGAAGAGGAGCATTGTTCCACCCTCTTTGACTCTGGTTGAACCAGACCCAAAGTGTCACATCTTGCCTCATGTACTTTTAAGCAGGAATCAGGACAAGAACCATTTCCTAGAAGAAAGTGACCAGAATGCAAAAGGGGCACCAACTAGAGTCACAAAACAAAGCCAGGGGAGGATGGGATGTCTACCATGGAGAGAAGATGCCAGGTGGCGGTGGCTCAAAAGAGGAGAGCTGGACTTTGGCTTCCAACTCTTGCAGAATGGCGGGCCCTCCCTTCGCCCACTGCTATAATGTGGGACCAAGGAGCTGAAGTGACTGTTTTCCCCATTGGAGTCAGCAGCCTGGATTGCACCAGCACCCAGGTGGGCCCTGACATTGCTGTGACCCTCTCTCTGAGAAGGGCCTGGAATGTGCAGGGCAGGCATGTGAGAAAGGGGCTCTGCAGGACCAGGGAACCCTGAAGTCTGTATGGAGGTTCTTCATGAGTCTCTGGACTAAGGCAATGCTGCACATGAAAGGGGGCAGCAGCCACTAGGCGGAGAAGCCATGGCTGCTGCAGGGTTGAGAGCAGAACAGAAATACCCAGGGCACAGCAGCGATGGAAGATCTGCCTGGACCCCTTGTCAAACCCAGACATCCAAGCAAGACGCCAGAAAGGTCACACATGAGGAGTGGGGACCACGCCCAGGAGACACACGCAGAATCACTGTGAGCCACCCAGGATGGAGGGCTGCCCTGGGGTCGAGATGGTGCTGAAGGAAGGGCAGGCCGGCCAGTTGCCCCGTGCCCCCAGCAGACCCTTTCCCTGGTGGCAGTGGGCTGGAGCACGCATGCATTCTTTAGTGTTCCCGCATCCCCTGGGTCTGACTGACAAGGAGACTGCCCAGGTTGGAAGTTCTAGTTCCAAGGTTGGGTCCTGGTCTTCCCAGATAGAGGCCGTGCTAGGACAGAAGGCTTCAGGGGAGTGGCTGCAGAAGCAACCTAGCCATATGGGGAAGGGCCCCTGAGAGGGACAAGAGATACACATGCCTCCCCCTCCCTCTCCGCCCACAACTCCGCCAGCCAAATCCCCTGGCTTAGCAGAAGCATGGGTAGAGTGGCTCAAATGGCCTCTGGGAGGTTCTGCAAGGGACAAGAGTGGGATCAGGTGGGGCAAGAACCAAGCCACACTGGGTAGGGGCAAGGACCAACCCCTGGTACCTGGGGGGT